TCGATCTTCTTGACTAGATCGTCACTTGGATCAACCCGAGGATTGTGGACTGAAATGCAAATACCGACCTGTTAGCATGGAAAGACACTTAATCAGAAGGATAGAAGCGGATAGAAAATGTAACTTACAAGTGCCGGAGATGAATTCAGTAGATGGGTGTCGAGTTGCTTCGGGTGTCATCCACTTGCCGCCGACCCAGAACCACTCCGACATGTAGCCGTGCAACGACTCTGGGACCTTGTGGATTAGGGGCCTGTCCACGCCCGGGGATACCGAGCTGTAGTAATTTCCAGTCTCCCTGGATCTCTTGAAGACAAACAGAGCCTTCACATCGTCGCTGGTCGGGTCGGCCCAGCGCTGCTGACAGAAAAGGACGATGAGACTGACCAACCGGGTGAAGACTGTCGGCACGAGCTGACTGATGCCGATGTTGAGGTCGCTGAGGATGTCGTTCAGAGCCCCCGGCAGCGGAAATCGAAGGCCGAGCAGGACACTCGAGCGATACACCCCGATGCAGCCCGGCGAGGGCCAGTGAATGCGCTCGCCGGTATAAGGGGCAAAAACTCTGACCCCTGGGCCGAAGCAGGCCTTCCCCCTCAACTATGCGAGATAGACATCCCTCAGCACCGACGCGATCGTCCAGGCAGTCGCCGACGCGACGGACGGCCAGACGCGAGGAGGGCGGCACCAGCATCCCGGGGGAGCCGAGGTCGCCGCTTCGACCAAGGCATCGGTCTCGGCGTCCTCGCGACCCATAGGGACTTGCTCTCACCCATGGGTGTCGCCCTGAAGCGTCTCATCCACCAGCTCGGCGTTGACGTCGGACTCATCAGGAGAAGCGGCGCCGGTCTCCTTCTCGACCTCCTCGGCATCGGACTGACCAGATCCAAGGTCGATGATCTCAATTGTGGGGAAGTTCGGGTGATCCTCTCGGTGCAGACCCGCCGCCGCCGCCGGCGGCATCATGCGGACGGCCGAAATCGGAGTGACTCTGAACGGCTGCGCCACCTCTGTCGCCGGAGGAGAGTAAACCACCAACTCCCCAGTCTCCTCCGCCGTATACCCACCATCTCCGACGGGGAGGTTCGCCGCGAAACCAGAAGAACTCGACATAATCGGAAAATAAGAAGAAAGATCTTGGAAAAGTGAAATTATCGGTGTGAAAGTCGCTGGAGAAACTCGGAAAATCTCGAAAATCGCCTTGAACTCTTGCTCGGAAACTCGGTCGCTCAAAAAAACTTCAGAAACAGTAAAGTTTCTTGAAGAAGACGAAGACCCTTATATATACAGGTTCTCGCCCAATCACAAGGTGACGCGTGGCATACGTTTGAAATTCAAAATTAAAAACTCGATCCGACGGCAGGAGAAAACGTGATTTGACGGTCGGGAAACAACAGCTTGGATACCACGCGCCTACGAAAACCGTCGATCTCTGAAACGACACGCCGCTTGACGCGGACGAATCAGTTGACGCCACGTGGAAAGGCTCTGGAAAGGCGTGACTTTTCATGGCCGACAGGAAGCGTAATAGACACATCGCATTAAATGGCCCGTCGCTTCAGATCTGAGGAGGACGCGCACGTGCCGAACTCGCACGCCACCGAGCTACAACCGAAACAAGGGAACTCGAACGCATTCCAAAACGACGACCTGACAGGGGGTACCGAAGGCACCCCCTCCGAGCTCGGGGGCCTGTATGTTGACATCCGAGTTCGCCTCAAAAGGGAACCAGACGAAAGGCAACTCCAAAATCCGAACCGGAGGCCCGATCGAGCGTGGAAGTGCCGAACTGAATCCCGAATTAAATTGACCGTCACGTCTCCATGGGTCCATTCACGAGTCCGGCATTTGCGCCGTTCAAGTGTCGGTGCCGACCTCGAATAGGTGGCGGGCTGAAATAAGACTGCAAAGGGCTAGAAGGCTAGAATGAGCTTGGGAGTCGACCTGAATCTTCAGAGCGGTTGTCCCGGAGACAGGCGCGGGGTCCGATAATAATATAATAACGCCACTTGGAGAGTAATCATTGGTGATTGGACAAGGCGTCGTAGCCTGCAGATCTACATCCACTAGCCAAGACATAAAGCCTGTTAGCATTAAATGACCCCCATGTGTGCATTAAATGCCTGACAGACAATGATTAGGAAAACCTCAAATCGCATTTAATATCTGTCAGGGTGACGCCGGACTGCTCTACAAGAACATTGTGCGACAAGACAACTGAACAATACCTGAACAATGCTACATTTAAGAGCACTATAAATAACAGCCTCCTCATTTATTTATGTGTTGTTGAATCTCCAACTTTCAAACTCTCTCTCTACTTTCTCTCTCTAGAATTGTACTAAATATCTGTAAGAATTGTAAGGATATCACAAGTACCGACCTCGTACGAGAGGCCGACCCAGTGATCAGTTAATAAAATCGTGATTAAACCGTATCTTTTCGTATTTTCCTTGTCTTTTCTTCTCATTACTCACATCTTTAACCTTTGACCAGAAACGCCCGTCAACATTTAGGTCATGTTTGTTTATGAAAATTTTTCAAAAAAATTTCAACATTTTAACTCAACCACTTTTTTTAACTCAATTTTAACTCAACCACACTATCATTAATATTATTTATATAATTAAATAATATCAATCAATCATTCACACACACCACATCAACCTTAATTCACTATTCATCTACTCACATTATTTTAACTAACCATCACTTCAATCATCTCTCTCCTACTTTTACATCAAATCAATTTTAATTATTTTATTTTAAATATTATTTTAATATACTCACTAACAACTAAGCATACCACTTTTTTTAAATTTAACCAAACTAAACCAAAAAATCCAAACAAAATAAAAAAATTTCATAAACAAACATGCTCTTATTTTCACCATCACATCTTATCGTTTTCATTTTTCAGTGAAAATATGTGAAAAGATTTACATGTTCTTACTAACCATTATCATTTCACAATTTTTCATCAAACATCTTTATTAAGTTTACCAATTTACAGAAAATAGTTTCAAAAGTTAAATATTACAATTTACATTCACATCATTATCATTTTTTCATTTTTTGAGAAAAAAATTTCAAAAGAAAAGTAATTCCAGTCCACTTTGTTATTCAGTAATGCTATGGAGCCAACTGTTGGCTCCGTTATGGAGCTAACAGCCAATGGGACAGTTCCATGTGGGTTGTCCCACATTGAAACCATGTGGGACAGTCCCATGTGAAGTTGTCCCATTGACTGTTGGCTCCGTTATGGAGTCAACAGCCAATGGGACAGTTCCATGTGGGGTTGTCCCATATTGGAACCATGTGGGACAGTCCCATGTGAAGTTGTCCCATTGACTGTTGGCTCCATAACGGAGCCAACAGTTGGCTCCATAACAGAGCCAACAGTTGGCTTTTTAGCATTACTGCTTTGTTATCGTTCTATTTAACAATTTAAATAGTAGACTAACATGTTTAACAAAATTGCAAATATACATTTTGTAATGTCAATATTTTTCTCAAGAATTACGATGTTTGACTGTTTCAAAATGCCTACGATTTTGCATTGAGCAAGTCGATGTTAAATTTCGTGAACAAAAAAACGTGAATTAGTATGGTTTAACGGATGGAGAGAGTATTTAATATTAGAAAGTCAGAAATCCAAAATCACTTCACTGTTCAAATTATCCATAATGTTTGATGAAAGATGTGAAAATCATATAAAGTGGAATAATGCAGCACATGAAGCTCAGATTTGAAGTGAAATAATAAAATGTTGCATAATTACAATAAAAGAGAAAAAACACAGCAAGAGAGGAGAAAGGGCAGCACAACCTATAAAAAACAAAAGGTTAAACACACACATGTCAGCACCCATGTGAGTTTGTGGTCTGATAGTGAAAGGACATTTTATTTATATAATTATTTACCCATTCAAAAATACTGTCAGTAGCCCATGTGACTCTGTGGACCTCACCACACCTTAAACAATTAAAACTAAAGACACAAAATGAGACAAAAGAGCCTCCCAAAAAATTTTTAATAAAAAGCATAAATAAAACACCACCCTTTTCCTTTTGCCTTTTCTCCATTCTCTCTATTCTTTTTTTTCCTTTAAATTTATTTATTAATGTGTATTTCGTATTTAGTTATATATAATTATTACTGTCTGAAAATTATTCAACTGAGTTTTACATCAAAATGATGCACAGTGGAACTTCCATTTCCGTAATGTATTGAAAAACAACTTTACAAACAATTTACACAACATATTAGGTTAAAAAAAAGGGTAAATTTTCATTTTATTGTAGTAAGTAAAGAGTCACTGCTAGACTTTGTTTTTTATATGCTTTTGATCCATTGTGTGGTCCCTCATAACACAACCACATAGGAGGTACAAAATGAGAAAACGAGAGAGAGAGAGAGAGAGAGAGAGAGGGACCCACTCCCATAAATAAGCGCATCTGTCCTTTGGCCGTGCATTGTATAATGATGTTGTAAAGTAGAACTAAATAGTATGGTATTTGGTGAGTGGTGATGACACTAATCTTGATGAGCTTTTTCCTTACACAGAGATTCTTTTTTCTTCTGTTGGTATGGTTTTGGCTATACAGCTACTAGACCACTTTCTTTATACTTTCTTGTATATGTGCTGCTAAAACTTTCTTTTCTGCACCAACCAACATGAAAATAGAGGCAAACTTTAAAAAAAAAATAAAAAGAAGACATACTTTAAAAGTGAACCCAAGTTTTGTGATTATTACATGAAATCCCCAGAGGTTGTTATTTGAATTACCAAAAAGATCCCATGATATGAGATCATGTCTAAATCGTTTAAGGGCTAATGACAATGTTCATGTAGATAAAAGGTATATGTTCTTGAAAAAAATATTCTGATGTTAGGAAAATTTGTAGGGAGAGAATGAGAGATCATATTAGAGCTCCTGTACTATTTTTTTCGTTCTTTGCCAACTGAAACTTCTCTGGGTTCTTTCNAACAATAATACCCAAAAAAAAAAAAAGTTGGATAGGTAACAATACCTTGGCATTTGAAGATAACAAGACTTGATAGAAGCTATGTTGTTAGATGCTGATATGGTTACAGGTATGTTGTCATCAGTAGAAGCTGATGCTTGGGAGAAAATAGACTTGTGCTCTGCTGCTAATTTAGTAGGCGAGGCAAAAAGATTATCTGGAAGAACATGCTCCAAGCTGTTTTTTCTTTTTTATTTCACAGAAAAGAAACATATTATCACATTAACTGGGATTTTATTTGTCAGCAAACAAATTGATTTGCCACCAAAATAATTAAGTGCACCTAAATTTTAAACCTACCTTTCAGTGAAAATGGAATCGTCATTGTTCGAACACTGCTGCTGCTGTTTATTATTCAGAGATTCAGTTCCTTCATGCAACAAATTGTGATCGGTTGCTATAGGAAGCGATTTGTCTACCTCCTGGCTACCATCAAAATCTGCAAAACTCCAAGAAAAAGATATACAATTAGACGAATGATTTTATGGTATAACATCATTTGTATTAATATAATCTTTCCTCAAACTAACCTTCAGATTTTTCAAGTTTAGCCTCATCAGAAGAATGGTAGAAGTTTTGATTCATAAGGAGCTGAGCCTGTCTAGGTGAGGAAATCGGGACACCCGAAGCCCGAAAGCCAGGCAGAAAGTGATTATTGTTGTGCTGATTATTTTTCAAGTCCAAAAGTTGTAAACTCATCATCCTTCGACCTTGAAGTTCAATGGCGTGCTGTAATTCAGCTTCTTGCTCCAATTTCCTTCTCAATATCATTTCTTGTGCATTAAACAACATTCTAGATCCTGAACAAAAAATAAATAAATAAATAAATATAGAACAAGCAGATGTACTTTAATTGACAAGTTCATCAATACTTTGGCATATAAACAACACATGAAGGTAAACATACCATTACCAAAGGGGAGATCCATGTGATCTCTAGAGTCAAGTGCAGAAGGGCTTAAACAAGCCGAATAATCCCCATTCTCCAAGTGTTGATGGTGTTTCCTATATACAACCAAAGGTTAAAGACCTAGCACTACAAAAGTTAAACAAAAATATAAAAAAATGTAAAAAATAAAGAGTGAGACATACTTTTCTGGAATTTTTCCTTTCTCCTTGTAAGGTTTGACAAGAACACGAGAATCGCACACGAAATGCGGATTGCCTTTGGCCAAAATGAGCTTAACAGTTTCCGCATATACAAATGTCACAAACCCGAACATTCTTTTCTGCTGATATGGAATCCTAACATCTTGCACTGGACCGAACAGACTTTGGAG